CGTTAATCCAGCTCTGATCTACATCAACCACCACCAACAGCCACACGCAACACTACCACCATGACGACCATCAAGTATGACGACTTCATACACTCAACACTCACCAGCATCACTGGCCGCCCCACCCGCACAGGCATCAAACGCCTAAAAAAGAAAACAAAGACAATGCACGTCAGACCATAGCCTCCGCGCAATGGCAATGAAGGACACTTACGCCTCTGCTACACCCTAGACAGGTTCAATGCAAGGCCTGCAGTAGCCGGAACACCATGGGTCGACCCAGTCCATCCAGGAACACGCCCAGATGTCCCCGATGGAGCCACCGGACCCCAAATCACGCGCATGGTCTCAGCACACAAGTATGACCTCACCGAATTCCAGCTCTTCCAATCCACCGAAAAGGCCCTCTTACGCAAGACCATGGAAGCCGTCGAAGAAGTCTACTACAAGTCTCTCCAAGACCCCGATGAAGGATACTCCACACTCAGCTACAATGACCTCATTGTCCACCTCAACGAACAGTATGGAACCCTCACCAATGACGACCTTGACAAAAACATCGACCGCATGAATGCCCAATGGACAGGCTTGGTCGGTAACCGGTGGTTGAGAATTGCTTTCTAACTATTGAAGTCAATAGCTCTAAGGGTTTAACTGGAGGTTAGAAACAATTATGAGCTATTGGCTTTGGTGGCTGTCCCCGTTGAATGACCGTTGGGGATCTGCCGGATCTACATCTATGTGACGGTCCCGCGAGCCGGCCAGTCAGGCTGGTTGGCTTGGTGGGACGTGCTTCTGGTGGATATAAGGGTCAATGTCGCAGTGGTATTGGGACTTTAACACAAAGAGCCAAAGAGGAAATAATCATGACAGTGGCAACATCAACAGAGAAAGTATTAGCTTTCTGCTTGGCAAGCACATGTGCTATCTTTTGGCTTGAAACCTTCCAATTTGCTACTCAACGTGCCACATCCAGCAGCATCTTTGGAAGGAATCAGGGATATGCTTCCACACAGGGCACTACAAACACGGGAAGAAAGGACTTGGCACCCTGGCTTTCTATTGATAGTGGCACAACAGAATTCTGCGTGTCCTGGGATGAAGACTGGTATGCCGATGAGTGGTGGACTCATCATCCTGAATGGTGGCCGAACTATACCAAAGAAAATGATACTCATTATTGCTTTGAACGCCTTCCTTCCCAAAAAGCAACATTGTTTAGAGAAATCTACAATACACAGTTTGAGAATAAGCATAACTGCTCCTCCACCATTTCCAAGACCATGTGGAATTCCGGGTGGGGAGCCGATCTATCCAATGTTGTAGATGGAATCAAGGCAGCTCATCAAACCGGAAAAGTCTTGACGATGGCAACAAGTTCCCTTGGGTGGCATTATGCTGCAAAGAAAGATGGATTGAAGCCAGTTTGCTCGCAGCGAAACATGCAGTGCTACTTTTTGAATCTGACAAATTGTAGGTCTACCGAGCGACCTTCGATGGGGCAACAACAGTACTTTTTGGCAGGGCAATGGAAGGGATTTCAACAGGCACGGAGCTACCTTGAGTACTCTGCAAGACCGCAAAAATGGCTCCGACGGGAGGTCTATGAATACTCCAAGCAATACGAAGCACAACTTTTGGCTCCTTGTACTGTTCTACATGGTACGTCTTTCAACTGTAGATTGGCAATCCACTTTTTGCGTTTTGTCATCTCTTGATGTCGTTGCTGGCTCTAACATTCATAAACAGTACGTCGTGGAGATGTTGTTCTGATGGACCCTACACCTAGACGATATCACACAATAGAAGAGTACTTGGACAAGGCCCACAACGTTACAAGGAATGTTCTTCTACTCACGGACGATGCCAATGCCATTGGAGAAGCACTCCATCTGTTCCGGGACTACAATTGGGTTTATTTGAACCGGACCCGCTACAGAGGTACTGAGGGAGGATGGGAAAATCACATACCATCCGATAGCCCCAAGCTAGAAGTCATTTCCCTACTTTCTGAGCTTCGGCTAGCAAGGAAATGCAGCACCTTCATCCATAGCAAGTCCAATCTTGCAGACTATATCTTTTCTGAAATGAAAACAGCTCATGCAAAGGTAAAAAAGATAAACCTGGATGTGGGCAAGGGAAACAAGGTTCACAATGCGGAAAACTTCAAGTCCATTGCAATATCAAAAGTGTACTAGAAATGGACCCGGATCTGATGCACCACATGACACTCTACAATACACTGGTAGCCTCTCTGTCGCTAGAGGTCCTTGGCCAGATTCACGTTGGAGATGGCTATCTGTTAGCAAGTATGACAGCTACGGTTTTAGTTGCTACATCATGGAGCTGCAGCTCTGTTTTGAATGTCGGTGTTGCCCAAGCTCAAATCCCTGCTTTTATTGTCCTTGCGTCTGGGCCCCTGCCTGAGTTAGGAACGACCAAGGAAGCGGGCTCCATCACCCATTCAATCTGCTAGACTTAGTGCATTCTCGCTCCAACCCCATGGTACAGACCTCTGTTTAATTTGCGTTGGCAGCATTGGTAGACCGTGGCATACTGCCATTGGGCGAGCGACCTTGATTGATGAATTCTGATGCCTTTTCTTGTTCCTATGATAACACGGGCTGAGGGAAGACGCGCAGCACGAGAAAGACGACTTTGCATGGCTACGTATCGTACCAAGCCCCCGGCTAGCTGTTAGGGTTGCCGCGAAAGTATTGAGAGCAAAGAACTTTTTGCCTTCACTGGCACAGTCATATTCACGACACAAAGCCTTCCCATGAACGATGAATCCGTTAGGCTTTGTTTGTTCGATAGCTAACTAGCTAGTGTTCTACTAAAGCCTGCTCAATCACTCCTTGCTTTCAGTTTGGGTAAGAGCGTCTGTTGGCTCATTGACAAGGGGCCAACAAGGACTTCCCACAATGCAACAACGCAACAACGACATTGGGACGAGTGCGAAAGCAACCCACACGGCATCTGTGAATGGTTCCAGCCAAAGTCGAGTCGAGTCGTGTCCTCTTGGTGTGAGGCTTTTGGACCCACAAGGGGTGGGGCGAAGCAAAATGCACAGCGTGTCTTTGTGGACTCCTCGCTCGAGTTGCGTACAGGCTGTATCTAAGCTACTAACGTAACGCAAGCACGGTCTCAATAGGACATTCCAATGCGAACTATGACATCATGTCTACCACCACATACCTGGTAATCTGGTAATGATGAATAGACAGATACGTGCTAATCCAAAGAAAGTTCAGTTGTACTGCTTTTAGCGTCCTGGAGTTTCAGCAATGGCAGCCAGCTATTACTATTTAGTATTTGAAGCTATTACTGGCATGGAGTGGTTTGCTCCTGTTTCAGTGCTGGTTGAGCTGCTGATAGCTGATAGCACTACTAGCTACGCTACGACCTGGACCGTCCGACGGTTTTCACTCAGGATTTAAAAAGCTTCCACGACTGACAAAAACTTGACCAGCACAATTAAGGGATTGTTTCTTTTAAGGGATTGTTTAAGGGATAGTCAAAGCTTTAAGGGATTGTTGTTAAGGGATTGTTTATTTAAGGGATTGTTTAGGGGATAGTTGAAGAAATAGGGGATAGTTGTATGGTATGTCCATTTGGCGTTAAGGGATTGTTTAGGGGATAGTCCAAGCTTTAAGGGATTGTTTTAAGGGATTGTTTCTTTAAGGGATTGTTTAAAGGATAGTTGATGAGTTAAGGGATTGTTTAAGGGATTGTTTTAAACGGTCAATTTCAAGATTTTTTAAATCCTATGTGAAACCCGTCGGACGGTCCTGGTACTGTCGAGGACTACACCAGAATGCTGAGCACGGACTACAGTGTCGATGCTCTAGCTAGCTAGCTGCCAAAAAAAGCGAGCTCAAAAGTGGCCAAAAAATCTGTGAGCAGCTGTTATGTGTGTGTGTCCGCGAATAAAATGGAGCACTTCTCAAAGCTGCTGTGCAGGCATTCGGCGTGTCTGGACTAACTTTGTGCTTCCAAAGTGAGCAAAAAATTTGCGACCACCCATGCCAGATGCCAGATGAGCCAGAGCTGCCAGACAGCATGCTCCTTTCTGTGTGTGATTTTTTGGCTGTTTGGATGAATAGAAGTAAGTCTTGGTGGAAGGACGATGGAGAAATAGAGATTTAAAGACTCGAATCTGTGAAACAATGAATTGATGTTAAAGCCTTTTATTTTATGACTGGGGGGAGAGCCAAATAATTCAAGTTGGTAGCTGGGAGTACTACAGTAGTAGACTATTAATAGTACATGTAAAAGATCATACTGCTGTATTTTTAAAATAGTACTGTACTCTGTACTACTAGCTAGAGTAGTAAATTATTATTTCTGAAAAACAGTGGCGTACCGGTACAGTACGGTAACCATTAGTACCATCCAACCCCTCCCGTCTGTCGTGTACAAGACTTAATACTGCACATTGGAAGAAGCAAATTTAGCTCGGGGGATTGGATAAACCATTAGCCATTGACACACCTGAGATGCATGGCTTAATAACACATACAAGGTTCCAGGGCTACCAAGTAGAGGATTCTATTGCACTAGCTATTGGGGTCCATGTACTACTATTTAGCACTGATTTGAACAAAGAGGGACGGATTATCTGATTTCTCCATCCCCCTTCAATTGTATCAAATGATGGTTAAGAATTACCATCCACCAGGTCCTCATTATCGAGCGTCAAGACCTTAGTTAAGAGGCCAACATTTCCCATGTTAGATTTTCGGATGCCAGTAGCTCCGCCATATGTGAATCTGAAGAGCGCATTTGCCAGGTTCCTGCATAGCACTGTTTGGCTTTCGCGGTTCGCGCTGTGACAAAATAAATTTTAATGCAAGACATGTACCGAATGATGATCGAATGAAACGCAGCAGAGCTCGCTCTGCTATCTTTGGATCCCTCATTCCCAACCACAACCAACAAACTCGATCTGGTCTGTCTATCTGATCATAAAATAAAAATCATCCACAACCAAAAAGCACACAAAGAAACAGTCAACCCACACTAGCACTACCATGAATATCTTTACACTCAAGAGCAACAACCCTGCCAACCAAGCGGCCAAGAACTTGAAACGGGTGAACAAGTACATCACTTTGGGTAGCAAAGCATTGACCAAGGGAGACAACCAAGGCGCACTGGACCTGCTTGGAAAATGCCTGGAAATCCGCGAAAAGGCATCGCTCGATGATCAAGATCCCATCTGGGCATCCGTCTTTAGCAACCTGGGCGTTGCGCTGTCTCGTTTGGGCCACTCCAACGCCAGTCTCGATTTTCACAAGAAGAGTCTCCGCATTCAAGAAGCCCAAGACGGCAAGGACGGTCTCGAAACGGCCGCCAGTCACAACAATGTCGGCCTCGCCCTCAAAGCTTGTGGAGACGTGGAAGGCGCCTTTGAGCATTTGAATCAGTCCAGGGTCATTCGCGAAGCCAAGCTCGACGCCAACGACCCCGAGATTGCGGAATCCTATTTCAACATTGGAACGGTGTTGTTGGAAATTGACGACTTTGAAGGTGCTGCCGAAATGTTCAACAAGTGCGTCCTTATCCAGGAACAGGCACTGGGCATGAAAGATTTGGCACTTGCGGCTACCTACGAGCAATTGGCTGCCACGCTCGAAAAGCTGGGAGATATCGAAGGGGCTCTGGATTATCACTACAGGTGCTTGGAGGTACGCAAGACCCAACTCAAAAAGGATGATCCATCCGTCCTAAAAGCCAGCAAAAATATTGGAAGGGTCTTGGACAAAGGCATTGCCGCCGATGATATCGCGGCGGCATCCGACGACGCCTTTAGTTCCGAAATTGTCGTCGAGGTGGAATCGGCACTCAATTTCAAACGCCGATCCGTGAATGTTCGTAGACGATCCGTCGAGGTCTACCGACGTGCATCCATCGAAGCGAATGCCCTGGCAGCGATTACAGAGACAGCCAGTATGATTTCCACAGTTTCGGAGGAGACTAATGAAGCTCAGGACAACAATGAAGCTGCTCAGGAAAATGAAGCAACAGACTCTCCCCAACCACGACCTCGACTGGTCGATGGGGCGTTGTCCCAATCAGCACCACCTCGGCTTCAGCAGCAGCAGAACAATAATAATGCGGAACCTGTGTTGGTGGTGCCTTGTGCCCCCACGGGACTGTTTTGGTCGGTTTCCATGTGCCACCTCAAGACCGAGGCGGTCAACCACTACACTCCATCCGCCACGGCGACACCTGTGATTGCAGAACAATCCGTCGAAGAATCCCTCATTGGCGGCGACAGCGACAGCGATTCCGACGACGCACCAGCACATCATGCCGACATGGGCGATGTTCGTAGGTGGAGTCGCATGTTGGCCGCCACGGATCTCGCAGAGGTCGGAATCACCCAACCAAATTTGACCAGGGACGTGTCTTGTTAAAAAGAAAGAAAAGAAAGGGTTTGGAAGGGGGCATCGATCTATCGGTCGATCGATGGAACCAACGAAATGAATCCCAGACCCAAGCATAGGACGACAACAAACAAACAAACAAACAAACAAACAAACAAACAAACTCGGAGTCGCATAGGAATGTATAAAATTGAATAAGAACAAAAAATTTACGAAACTCGTTTGGTAGCATGCAGCATAAAACCAACCTCCATAGGCAGATTTGCTATCGAATTTTCCATTTTATTTTGTTCTCAATGTTCGTGCTTTTGCATCCGTCTTGTTCGGTAGCCAACAAAATGCAATTCAATTCATCCAACCCACCGCAGGTCAATCTGCACAAGCCACAATAGCTCAAGGAGAACCCCCCTTCCAAGGACAACAAAATCCACCGGTACGATCTGCCGTACTGGTAACTCTACCGGTACGGGGATATCTTGCATGACAGCATCAACTCTCGCTGCCCTTTTTGCTTGTTTTTTACAACATACCGCATGGACGAGGGTGGTTTGCACCTATTGGAGCTCTAGCTCTAGCTCTAGCTAGCCAGCTAGCTAGCTAGCGAGGTCACCTTTACTAAAACGAACTCGACTTCTCACAATTGACAACGTTCTGAACCGGTGAAAGCTAGTTGTTGTGACGTCATCAGCGTTACAGCACTGCTCAGCAACTCGTGACCACAAATGTACCGTATCCATGTCTGAATTTTCGAATTTTTTCTGTTCAGGTTTTGGCGCGAAGCTTCATTCTTCCAGCAAGCGAGGAGCTACATGTAGATCATTGAATTTTGTTGCTCTTTTACATTTATTTTCCGTCGCCCTCAGGAGTGGTATCAGCCTTTTAAAACAAGCCCAAGCAATCATGACAAAGAGCAAGCTCACCATCCCCAAGCAGTCGGCCAAGAAGCGCCGCGTCTCAAAATCACCATCGCAGGGGCTCGCAGAGTCACCCGAAACAGTACAGAAAGGGCTTGTGGTCCGCCGAGGAGGTCAGTGTGCTTCTTCCGTTGGCGCTCCTGATCAAGAAAATGAAGTGTCACCCATCAAGCAAAAGTGTTGCAGGTGGACCTTCATAAAAATAATGCAACTGCTGTGGTGAGGGCTCTCGAAAACTTGCACAAGCTGTGCTCTACGGACAATCTGGATGACGACAAAGATGTCAAGAACAAAAACCGAAAGAAGGCACTTAAATTTGCACCTTTTCACATGTTGGTTAACTGCATGATGAAGTGGTACGACGACACGAAAATTCAGCATTTTTCGCTGGGTTGTTTGGCGCTCTTTCTCTATGACAGCTGGGAGGGGAGTCTTGAGGTCAACAAGATTCATGGAATCCAAGCTATTGTTAGGGCAATGCGATCTTTTCCTCGCTCCGAAGATGTTCAGGAAAGCGCCATGTTGGCCTTGGCGAATGGAATCGTGACGGACGAAGACATCGATTATGACGTTGGCACAACGGACGACTTCAAGGAAGAACTCAAGGTTGCCACGAGAGAAATGTCCAAGTTGTTTGTGGAAGAGCTGGATGGGATTGCATTGGTAGTCAATGCCATGACGGCATTCCCCAACCATCAGGATGTTCAAATGTCTGGCTGCAGTTTGTTGGCAAAGTTGTCTCATCGAGAAGAGTTTTTCGAGACCATGAAGAATACCAGGGCAGTTGGTGTTGTGGGAATGATCCTTGGGAACTTTGCGGGTGATGTCGAGTTGATTGGTAAGGCCACGCGATTCATGGTGAACGTGTGGGGCACCCGAATGGTGATTGACGTGGGAATCGTTGCCGATAGTGACCAGACCAGTCTGCAGGACGAACCCAACACCGCGGACACCAGCATGGAGGAGCAGGAGATTGACAATAACCAATCTCAGTCGGCTTCCGAGAACGACGAGGACACGGCCACGCAGGAGACAGCCGAAAAGGAAGAGTAAAAGAAAACCTTTCGGTTGATTCACAATTGGAAATGGAAGACGGAAAGAGTGGGGCACCCAGAAGAGGAGGCTACCGATAGCATAGAGTAGGCTGTAGAAGGCGAATAGCTTTCGGTTTTTATTCAAAAAGTTGATCCGATTCAAGCCACTAGCCACGAAAATGGTGGATTCTAAAGGCAAGATCTGACGGATCACTCACGTCGCTTTGCTTACCTGAAGAGAACCAAAGTAGCAAGATGTCAAATCTGCATAGAGCGATCAGGAAATGATGCTCAGGTTTAGCCTCAAAAGCTCTATGAATAGGAGTAGGAAGGCTTTTGCTTACTACGACTGAGAGTGGATTGAGTTTTTGTTTGTCACAATGATTAGTTGTTGTTATTTTTGTCTACTGCGCCGAGGGCTTGCTTTTACTTCACTCAGAATTCTAAGCTATAGTGTCACACAGCCACATTGACTGCATGTACATTCCACTAGTTCACAATCAACTTGTATCTGCAATAAGTCTGGGTTCGAACAAAGATTGCTTGGGAAGCTTCCCGATAAACGGCTGTCATGCAAGTCCAATTCAGTCAATGCTGTCAGCATCCCAATCTCCGATGGAATGTTGCCTGATATTGAAGTGGAACTCATGTTCAAGGAAGCCAATGCTGTCATCAGTCCGAGCTCTGACGGCATACTCCCTCGTAATCGGTTGTCAGACAAGCCCAAGCGAATCAATGATGTCATCAAGCCAAACTCAGAAGGGACCTTTCCTAACATTTTGTTGTTTGTCAATAACAACTCTTCAAGCTGGTCCAGTTGAGTCAGCGCTACTGGAATGGTTCCTGATAGTTTATTGTCACTCAGAGACAGCCTTTTAAGTTGGGTCATTTGCTTGATTTCTGGAGGTATGGTTGCAGTGAATACGTTATCTCCCAGCATCAAGGTGTGGATATTGGTCCAATCAAAGAGCTCCAACGGGAGGCTTCCAAGGAGACGGCAATCTCTGCAGCTGATCACTTTCAGAGACTGAAATGACTCTGATATGTTTGGTGGAAGCAGATCCAATATGATTGTATCTTGGTAATGCCCCGACAAATCCAAATCTTCGAACTGACGGAGCAATGATAGCTCGAGTGGGAGTGATCCAATGAAACGGCCTGCAAATTTTCCCACAGCAATTCGTTGTACACGGCCATCAGCATTGCAATGCACATGTTTGCTGACAGCACTTTCACCCCAGTCACACTCATTGATATCGTAGCGAAGCCATGACCAAAATGTTGGACCCTCAAATTCATAGAAAAATGTGGCCAAAGCAAACTTCTGTTCCCGTTGCCAGCTTTTGTGCCGCTGTAGGTTGGGATCTAGAGTTAGCCAGGTGAAAGCTTTGTATTGTGGTGATTCCTGATCCAAAATTAATTCCAAAGTGGAGTTGGCGGCATTGGGGAGGAGCACCCCATCTTCTTGGTTGAAGGTTGGTGCTTGCGTTGGTACTGGATCGGACATTCCACCGGAAGTGCCAATTGTTGTTTCCAGTGATAGACCATCGTCTTGTCCGCCTCCGCCAACAGCCAGTGCAATGGCAACCGCAAGGATGACGACCAACAATACTAGCAACAATCCTGCTCTGACAAACATTTTGTTGCGTTCAGTTGTGGACCCAGCTTCTGTGCCATCTGCATCATCAGGATCCGGCCCAGACACCCACTCTACCAGAGCCGTTAGTGGTGCTCTACTCTCTGTAGCTTCATCCAAATTTACTTCCGCCTGACCTTCTTCTTGTTGCTGTGGTTGACCAGAGGATCCTTCTCCCAGTAGATCGGATCCTTCTCCCAGTACATCAAGTCTCGCCGGTTCCAGTGCTCGATAGTAGGAATCTGGTGCCCCAGAGTAGGCACCAGGAGAAACAGCACCTGGAGGCAACGGGTGGTTGGCCAGTGATTGCCCCGTTCGATGGTCATATTCAATGTTGATATCAGAAAATATCGACGGAACGCTATTAGCAGGATTTGTAATAAGAGAGTCGTCCACAATCTTTCCTGCTGCAATGGCTAGTTTTGTTGCCGTGCAATCTTCGTCATTCAAATCTTGAGCTCTGCTGTCAGGTTCAGAAACAATGGCTGCCGATTCTGCCCTCTCTTGTTGAGATTGTCTGACAGCAGCTGCTGATCGCTGTACTAAAGCAGTCATGAGGGCAAGTTCGTCTTTCTGTCGCTGATCATCGTCCTCTGTACCATGCTTCGTGGAAACGGTTGTGGACAATGTAGTGGTAGTGTCTGTTTTCTTACTGGTAGTTTCATTCTTCTTCTCCTTGTTTTCTGCTGCCCGCCTAAGCAGTCCCTCCTGCTTAATCTCTTCAGCTGTCTTGGTGGCCTGCCCTGTATTCGATTCCAGGCTGGCAGCATGACTTCGCTCAAGAGCAAGCTGGTTCAAGCAAAGGTCGCCGTTGTCTGAGCCGTCTGAGCCCCCCTCCTCTTGACCATTGGGATTCGGTGGAGTCTCAGAGGACATCCTTTTGCATCAGAGGCTGCTATGGATCATGGGAATGATATCATGGGGTGAGTGAGTGGTCCACACTTCCTTCTTCAAAGCGTCGATGAAGTATTAATATGAAGCGTTCGGTACCAGTTCCTGAACCTTAAAGGAAAGCGTCCTTTAAGGAGGTACCACCAGGTCTGCACGTCAGCGGGAGGTAACCCGGAAAACTCTCGTCTTATTTCAGACTTTATCGAGCCTATTCTATCCACCGACAATGATCCGATGCCGTTAGCCCCATGCCGCTGCAGTTTCACCCACCGACCAGATATGGAGGCGTGGAGTGGCTCGCTGTCTTCGTTATACCCATGGCTGTTAACTTCCGGCCACTCTGACCGCCGCTGGGCTCCTGTACGTGTAGCATGCAGGTGGTCAAAGTTAGCATTCGAAAATGAGGCTGTTATCTTGGCAGCAGGCCACTTACACGCTATACCGCTCAACCGCGGTCTACCCCAATGATGGCTTGTAGAGCACATGCATAGCTCTCGATCGCTATGTCCATACGCTCATAGGTGCTCCGGAAGGGCATTAACGGGGACCACAACGTGTGTTGTCGAAAATTGCAGTTTGTTGTTGTTCAGGGTGGCTGGTGCATCGCGATAGCAACCGACAAAGAGAGCCAGCCAGGAAGGAATTTCCTTTTCCCATGTTGTCAGAAAGCAGTTTCCGGTAGGAAAACACCGTCACAATCTGCCGTAGGATAATAGAAGATAATAAAACGTCCATTTCATGGAACAAGATGCCGGTAACCTCCATGGTTGTTGTTGAGTATGCTGGAGAGCCATCTCCAGACTTCATTGCTAGTCTGGCTTTCAGTCATCAGAAGACTCCAGCCTTTCGC